CGCCCCTGCTACGCACCGGGCCCGGGTGTGGGAGCCGTTTGAGGCGCGAGCTTCCTCCGCCTGCTCAGCAGCCTGAGACCGCGACCAGGTGCTCTCCCGCCCTCCTGGCCACCCAGGGATTGGGTGTCAGTGGCCTGTTGCACACTGCCACTTCTACAAGTGACTGCCACCGTCAGGATAATATAAAACTACAAATAACTACCTGACTCCCCAGGGGTACGGTGTATTCTCCAGTTTTAGCATCTGCCTTAAAAAATTAACCTTAGAGTTAAGCACTCCCGGGGACTTATTTCTACCCTTTGTAAGTTTGGACTAACTTAAAAAAAAAAGCCGACCCTATTCTGGTCTGCCTGTCCATCCCCACCCCCATCCCTGTCCCCGTCACCGTCCCCATCCCTACCGCCATCCCCCACTGGCCTCAGACTGAAGACGAAGGGATCAGTTTGGGTTTACTGGCTTCACGTATATTTAAATTAACAACATGTTTTAGTAATCAAAAAGTTGAAAAGGATCGTGGAAAAGGCACGTCCTCCTCTTATCGTTTTGCCCAAACCAGGAGTCCTTTGTATTCTTTTTCCTGAAGAATTGCTCTCCTGTTTACCCATGAGCCAAATGTAGAAACCAAAGTCATGCTAGATTGAAGGGCCCTTTCAGGGCCCTTCCGCATCCGGTCATCACCAACCCGGGGCAGACCTATCACCCCGCTTCTCCACTACCACAGTCCGAGGGGACTTGCCTCTTGCCTACAATATTACAACTCTGATGTAACCACTTAGTGGTTTAAGAATGTGGCTTGTTAAATCAGAATTCTGCCACTTATTACTTGTATGATCAAGGACAAGTTACTTAATCTCTATGGGACCCCATTTCCTCATTTTTAAAAACGTATTCATTTATGTACTTACTGAGGGTTGACTGTGCCCTGGGCACTGGGGATATAGAACTGAAATACAAATTAATTTATTCTTATGGGGGAGAGAATCTTTAAACAAGATTTCAAAAGTGAAACAGATGTTAAATTGAGTTGAGCATCCAGGAGAAAAATAAAGCAAGGGGAATAGGAAAGTGTGAGGCACTTACACTTGCCTGAAGACCTGCAGGAGGTGAGGGAGCAAGCCCTGTGGATATCATCTGTAAAGTGGGGATAACTATAGTGCTCATTTTAGCAATTAAATGAGATGATTAAAGGAAACTGCTTAGCTGGGAGTTAGGGCTTTATAAATTTAGTCAGTGATTATTATTTTCCTCCTTCTGGGCAATCACTAGTTTCATTTCCCTTCAGATCACCTTTCAACGTTTATGCTAGAATGATGCTTCTAACTGACAGAAAGTTTTTCAGTTTTCAAAAAGTTTTTCCTTTTCCTTCATGGAAAACTAGCATGATGAAGTAGCCCTTTCTGATTTGGTCCTTGCCTACCCCGACAGACTGGAGCCCTGCATCTGCAGGCCATAATCTCTGTACCAGCATTATTGACTACACACACTATACGGTTGCCTCTCCGTATCTGTGGGTGCCGCATACACTGTGGATTCAACCAACCTGGAGTAAAAAATATTCAAGAAAAAAACTGTATTTGTACTGAACATCTACAGACTTCCACTCCATGATTATTCCCCAAACAATATAGTACAGCCAACTATTTATGTAGCAGTTATGTTGTGTTCGATATTATAAGTAATCTAGAAATGATTGGAGGTCTATGGGAGGATTTAGGATATTTCTCATCAGAATATTACATCATCTTACATAAGGCATCTGAGCATGGGTGGATTTTGGTATCTGCGTGGGTCCTGGAACCAATCCGCTGTGAAGACTGAGGGACGACTGTACATGCCATGGCATGCTCTCTTCCCATGCCCTCCCCTGCCTTTGCGTGTGCTGCTGTCTCTGGAATGTTTTCTCCTCTCCTCTCATAGACACAGCAGGCTCCTGCTGTTCCTTCATGTCTCATTTACATATAACCTCTTCAAAACCTTCACTGAATTCTGTGACCTAAGCAATTTATCTTTTATGATTCAATTGCATTTTTGAAATAGTTTTATTGCAGTACAATTTATGTCATATAGTTCAGCTATTTGAGATATTCAATTCTGTGGTTTTTAGTGTATTTACAAAGTTGTGCAACAATCACCATAATATAACTTTAGAACATTCTTATAACCTCTAAAAGAAACCTTGTACACATTACCAGTAACTCTCCATTTCCCTTCATAGTCTTGGCAGCCCTTGGCAACAACTGATCTATTTTCTACCTCTCTATATTTGCTTATTGTGGGCATTTCTTTTTGTTCTTTCTTTGTTTCTTTGCTTTCTTTTTTCGAGATGGGGTCTTGCTCTGTTGCCTAGGCTGGTGTACAGTGTTGTGATCATAGCTCACTACAACCTTGGACTCCTGGCCTCAAGAAATTCTCCCACCTCCCGAAGTACTGGGATTACAGGTGTGAGCCACCACGGCCAACTTGGACATTACATGTAAATGGAATCATGGTCTTTTGTGACTGACTTCTTTCACTGAAGATAATGTTTCCAAGGTTCATCCATGTTGTAACATGTATCAGTGCTTCATTCCTTTTTATGGCCAAATAATATTCCATCGTATGAATATAGCATATCTTACTCATCAGTTGAACATTTGTGTACAAGTTTTTGTCTGAACTCAATTCCTTTGGGTATATACCTAGCAGTGGAATTGCTGATCATAAGGCAACTTTATGTTTGACCTTTTGAGGAACTCTCACACTGATTTCCATAGTGAATGCACCATTTCCCACCCTATTAGCAACGTGTAGGGATTCCAACTTCTTCCCATCCTTGCCAATACTTGTTATTTTCTGTCTTTTAATCTTATCTATCCTAGTGGGTGTGAAGTAGTATCTCATTGTGATTTTGCTTTGCATTTCCCTGAGCACTAATGATGTTGACTACGAGCCTTGTCAGGTGCTCGGGAGCCATTGTATATCTTTTTTTGAAGAAATATCTGTTCAAATCCTTTACCATTTCTAAGTTGGATTAATTTTTTAAAGTTTATTGAGTTGTAAGGGTTTAAAAATATCTATTCTATATGTCCCTGTTGTTCTGTATTTTAAAAAATAAAAATAGATTCTAGATCTTAGCAGATATATGATTTGAAAATATTTTTTTCAGTCTGTCTTTTTACTTTCTTGATGGTTTTCTTTGAAGCACAAAAGTTGTTAATTCAGTCAAGTCCAACTTATTTGTTTTCTCTTTAATCACTTGCTATTGTTGTCCTATATAAGAAATCAGTGCCTAACCCAAGATTCCAAAGATTTACTCCTGTGTTTTCTTCTAAGAGTTTTATAGTTTTAGCTCTTACACTTGGGTCTATGAGGACTCACTTGTATTTTGTACAGAATTTCATTTTAGCAGTAATCATACTATCTTCTATTGTTTGCAAGTCTGTCTTCCCACTAGACTGGTGCTCCTCAGGAACTGGGAGTCGTTTCATTTTTCCAGCTCCTACTACCTAGTGCTATACTGTCAAATATTTAGTGGTCAATATTTATTGAGGGAATGAAAAGAAAAAATATCACACATAAATGAGAATAAAACCTTAAGATAGTTTAACCAAGAAATAAATATAAAAATGATACATGACTCTACAAAGTTACTCATTTTAAATATATTTTAAGAAGACTTGCAATGCACCAAGCAAGTCCTGAGTTGTAGGATATAATTATTAACAAGACAGACTTAGTCTTTGTTCTTGAAACTCATGCCTGAATAGAAGACAGACAATAAACAATGACCAATGTGGTGGATATTTACAAAGAGACAGTGCAAGGTGCAATAGAAGTGTTCTAGGTCATTTGGAAATGAATTGCTCTACTAACGTCAGTTTTTAAACTGAAATTGGTCCTTTCAAACCTTAAAATATAGTGATTTTTCACTCCTTTGTGAGAAGATCACATTGGTCTTCTTCCAACTGCTTAAACATATCATACTCTGGCCAGCCATAGGACTTGAGATGACCATTGGGTTTTTTTGTTCGTTTGTTTATTTATTTTTGAGATGGAGTCTTGCTCTGTCGCCCAGGCTGGAGTGCAGTGGCATGATCTCAGCTCACTGCAACCTCCACCTCCCAGGTTCAAGTGATTCTCCTGCCTCAGCCTCCTGAGTGGCTGGGATTACAGGCAGGCGCCACCAGGCCTGGCTAATTTTTGTATTTTTAGTAGAGACGGGGTGTCACCATGTTGGTCAGACTGGTCTCGAACTTCTGACCTCGTGATCCACCTGCCTCAGCCTCCCAAAGTGCTGGGACATCTAGCATTACAGGCGTGAGCCACTGTGCCCAGCAATCACTGGGTTTGGTAAGATGGAGGTTGTTTGGTTATGTTAGTTTGGGTTGTCCAGGAAATAGATGCCAAGACAGAGTTAGAAGCATAAGAGACTTATTGGCAATAACGTTTGTGAAAATTAAAGGGGAGGAGAGTCAACAGGGAAAGCCTTCAGACTGTAATGTAGATCTGATCCCTATGAAAGGAAGGAAGAAGGATCAGGCAGGAAGAGCCTCAGACTGAAGTGCCGCTGAGAAAGTTTTGGCCAGCCTTGTGTGTGGAGCTCCAGCACAGAGACTACCCATTGAGGATTTCCACATTGGATGGAGATGATGAGTCCTTGGACTGAGACAGTGCTGTCATGCACTGTGGGCTCCTACCCTGCACTCTTGCCATCTTCCGCAGAAGGTCTTTGCTTCTGTCAGGAGACCCTGTCTCCACAAATCTCTCTTGAGCTTTGGTAATTATCCTTCTTGCTCCTTCAGGGACCCTATTGTTTATAACGTTGGGGTACTGCACTATCATTCATCATTTTCTTACCCGTGCCCACATACCCACACCCTTGAAGGGAGTGCCTTTATACAAATTTCCCCAGATCACCCAATTTAAACGTGGCCATTTGCTTCTGCTAGGACCCTAACTCTTATGGAGTCACTAGTGACCTTGAAGAGAGTGTTTTCTGTAGAAATGGTGAAACAAATGGCTGACTGGAGTGGGTTGAAGAGAGAATGGGAAATGGCAAGATGGAGGCATGAGTATAAGCAACTCATCTGAGGGGATTTCCCTGCAAGGGAAGGCAGAGTAATTGGCACGTGGCGAAGAGAGGTCTAGGGAAGGGTTTTGCTTTTCTTTTTGGATGAGCTACATTATGATGTATTTGCACACAGGTGAGAATGAACTATATGAAAGATTTATTCTACAGGAGTTCCTTGCAGAAGCAAAGTCCTTGAGCAGCTCAGAGTTGATGGCATCTAGTGCACAGCTGACCACAGTGACAAGATAGGGTGCCCAGAGCAACCAGAGAGAGGGCAGAATTTAGGGGTAGGCTGATAATGGGCAAGATGAAGTTGTCTGCTTCTGATTGTTTCTACTTTCTCAGTAAAGTAGGAAACAAAATCACCAGGAGTGGAGATAGTGTGATGGCATTTGAAAAGAGAATGGAGTAAAACTGTGGAGGGTGAGTGGATTAAAGGGATGTAATCAGACAGCAGGGCCCACTTGAGATTTGGGGCCATACATTTAAAGTGAGACTGGTAAGCAGAGCCACATAATTTCCTCTAGGCATATCTCCCTGTTTGGATACAGGTATGGAGAAGGCAGAGTTGGGCTTTGCCAGGCCAGTATGACAAAGGATGTGGAGGATGTGCAAGG